AAGTGCTGATATTGCTACATTGCTTGCAACTGTTGGAGCTATTCTGGAGTCTGGAACTTAGATGTAGGGTGCCAGGGTCCCCCTAAAAAGGGGGAAATAGTAGCTTTATTCAAATTATTGTGACACCAGATTTCATTTCCCTTTGTGGGCTCAATGAGAATACATGGCAAGGTGCTTAGTCCCAATTTATTTTGATGGTTTGGTGCTTTAACCCTTTCTTTGTTAATTCTGAGCAGTCGGGAAATGTTTAACAAATGGCAAGCTCAGAGATGGTGGGCAGAGAACTATGAGAAAGTCATGGAATTATACAATGTTCAACGCTTCAATCACCAAGCAGTCCCACTTCCTACTCCCCCAAGATCTGAAGATGAGGTAAGCTTGCTATCTGTATACCTATTAAAAGATTTATTGTTTTGAGTACTTTCTGTTACCCTTAATTGCAGCTTGACTTTACCTCTTTTGAAATGGTCAATCTCAAAAACTTAAATCTAGTCAAGTGATGTGGCTATCTGGGATTGGAAGTACTGGCCAAACAGAACAAGTTTTGGGGTTAGAATGTACCCAATGGCTATGGATTGTGGGTCATATTCCATCTCTTTTGGTTTTCAGTCAACTTTCACTTAAGCATTACCAGTTTCTTCTTCCTTTTTTTTTTTTTTTTCTTTTCTTTTTGGGGATACCATAAGTATCTAGACCTTTGGCTCAACTAATCTCATGGATACATGCAAACCGCCTATCACCCTTGATGGTGGAGCCTTACCTGGTTCTTATAACCATTAGTTTCAAGAAACATTCTTCTGACTTCATTCTGTCTACCATGTGTTGACACTATTCTTAAATAGATTGCTGCCTAGAAATTTCGTGAAGAGCTCAGTTGGGTTGTTTCGAAATTAGGAAATTGGTCTAAATGATAGGTGTCCATGGTATTTAAATTGATATTCATCCTCTTCCAGAGCTCAAGGATTGAATCTGTCAAAGACAGTCCTATGACTCCCCCTCTAAACAAAGAACGCCCACGAAACTTCCAGCATCAAACAGGGATTGGGCCAATTGGCTATTCTTCATCAGATTCACTGGATCACCACCCAACGCAATCCCATCATCATAATGACTCAGCTGCACTTGCTTCAACCCCAAAACTCTCCAGCATTGGTGGAGCAAAGACTGAGACATCTTCTGTAGATGGATCTGTAAGGACTAGTTCTTCAAGAGAGGCAGATCACTCCGGAGAGCTTTCAGTCAGTAATGCCAGTGATATGGAGACTGAATGGGTTGAACAGGATGAACCAGGGGTGTATATCACCATCAGAGCACTGCCAGGTGGTACTCGGGAGCTTAGACGTGTTCGCTTCAGGTAAGTGAATTTTCTGACTTGGAGAATAGGCGATGTTATACTTCCTTCAAGGCTTTTTCATTCCTTCCTTGCAACAAAGTTGTGGGGCATGAATTTAGTTCTAGTAAAAGTTAAATTTGCTATGTGGTTTTTTCCTCCCTGCTGATGAACTGATTGTCTTAAATCTTCATGGCTATAAAGTTGGAAGGCTTATTCATTCTTTATTGCTCTTGGTAGACCGTATTGTTTTTCTTAATTCCAGAGCCCCTGGACTTTGAGAATAAGTGAAACTCACTGTATTGCTATTCTTAAACTAAACTATATTTAGTTTGACTCAAGCTTTATGCATTATAATTGAATCATTATTATTTTTTTTTTGAACTTGGTAATTGAATCATTATTTTATGTGTGATGAAGCCGAGAAAGATTTGGAGAAATGCATGCAAGGTTGTGGTGGGAAGAAAACCGAGCCAGAATACAAGAGCAGTACTTGTGATTTAGCAAATCCAAGGTGGTGTTTGGAAATTGTGTCTCTCCTTTAACAGTGTCTCTCAACAATTCCTTGAACCTTGGTATACCCTCATCGCAAAGCTCATGCAAATCAAGTTATGGATCTTGTTGTTCTTTCCTTTTTTTTTTTCTGTAGTTAGGGTGGATGGAAATGTTGGGATGATATAATGGGGAAGTCTTAGTTACAGTAGCAGTAGTTTATTTTAACTCAAAAGCTTTATTTCTGATTGAAGTATCTGACTTGACCTTGAACTGATCTCACAATATTTACAATATATTTCCCCTTGACATGCATTTCTCACTGGTCTTAAAGAAGATAAATGGTTATTGTATCTGGATTAAGGAGAAAGAATAAGCATATTGTAGTGTTTTGCAGTTTTGCTGCCGCATCTTGTGTTTTTTAGGAAAATGAGTAAATCCCAACAATTATTTGTTGGTTTTATCTTCCATTTTCTGCAGAAAAACAAAGGAGAAGGCTAGAATTAATATTGATTTATGGGCTTTTTATCAATACTGATATGTAACTTCTTGAAGTTTAACTTTTGAAAATTCTCATATTTACAAATTTATTTACTCTACCATATAAACTTCTTTATTATTTAGTAATGTTATAATTACAATATTAGAGAGAATTTTAAACTTACAATTATAATAAAATATTAAATGAGTAAATGTATAAAATATTATAAATGAATTTTTAAATAAAAATAATTAATTATATAAGATGCATTGTATTATAAGTTTATAATTTTATATAATATCATAATTATAATATTTTTTAATATATGTAACTTTACTTATTTGTTTTTCAATATTGAACGGAAAGGATTTTCATTAATTCAATTATCTAAATTCTTATTTTTGTAAGCCAATAATTTGGTTTTCTGGTTTCAATTTTATAAAGTTTAAAATATAGATTTTCTTTTTTTTCCGTTTTCTCTTGTGCAACTCGGCTTGCGGCCTGCGTGCAAATTCCATTCCTTCTTCCTTTTCAAAGGCAAGTTAGATGGGTCCACTCACTTTAGTTCTTTTTCCACTTTTACAAAAGGAATTTTAAATATAGCATTCACCACCTTTAACTTTACTTTTATCCAACTTACTCCAATTCGAAGCCACATTGCGTTCTTCTAGAAAAAAGAAACCATATTTCATTCCTTTTGGCAAGTGTGATTGGTTGTAGCTCCATAGACCTTTTAAAAAAATGCGAGTGCTTGGAAATTGATAAAGTAGTTTTAAGCATCATCTCATCAAATGATTGAAGGTACCAATTGACCTTAATATTGTATAAGCCATAATAGTTAATTAGGAGGAGAGGTTTTAATATTTTCCATTTTTTTTCCCTTTTTTGGATATTGGAGTGGGGGATTAGAATTTAATTAAAACAAACAATCACTTTTAATTTTTCTTTTTGACTATAGTTACTGTTACTAGTCAACTTTTTTAGGATGTTGTTTGATTAACAATTTTTGAACAAAACTGTTGTCCACAAAGTTGTTTTAAACACTTGAGAAGATTTTTTAAGATAACAAAATATCACAAAAATTGCTAATTAAACATACTCTTAAAAGGAGAATCCACCCAACTAAGTAGGCTATAATTAAAGTCCAATACATACTCTTAATATATATATATATATGATTTTTCTAGCATGTGTCATAGGTTAAAAGTATTTTCTTTTATAAACGTATATAAAAATTTGTAAAAGTTATATTAATTTTAATGTAAGTATAAAGTGAATAAATTTAATTAGACAGTTAATATATTGAATATTGATTTTTATTTTTTAATATAAATTTATGATAAAAAATATATTTAATCCACCATAAGAGTCCTGATTATACAAATTCACGTGCGCGCACACACACATACATATATATATATATGAGAAAAGGAAAAATTTAGATATAATATTAAAACTTTCAATCACAATTATTAATAAATGAGGTATAACATAAATTTTAATTTTATCAAATTCATAATACAAAACTAATCTACAAAAAATAAAATTGTTTGATTTTCCCTTTTTTCTCTTTATATATAAAACAAGATAGAGAAAACGTTGCGCCTGAATTTATAATTCAAGTGATTTCTAAAATTTATGTTTGGTTGTCGAAAGAGAGATGGGTTAAAAACTCCCTCCCTCAACATGAAAAAGAAAAATAAATTTACAGGCTTATCTTGCATAGCTTCACAATTCAACATGATAATGATTGTGGTTTTTTTTTTTTTTTTTTACTTGATATGTATTATGAATTGATTACACTTTTTAAAATTGTTTATGACTACTGTGAGAGGTGATGCTAAAGAAAATGAGTCGGGAGTTCGCTAGACATCTTCCATCCCTTTAGCGTTAGTTTTTGCACATTTAAAACTAATTTCTATTAAAGTAAATTTTGAGATGATTTATTTTCAAATGATTTTAATTGTGCATTTATATGTGATGTATTGAATTTTTTTTTTTTTTTATGTGTTATGATGATTACTTATTTATTTATTGTATATTTAGGTTAAAAGGAATAAAAAGAAAAGAGGAGAAATTTTTTTTGATTAATTAAATTATAATTTGATTAATTATAAAACTTTCTTTTCCTTTTCTTTTTATTTTTCTTAACCCAAACATATTATTAAAATTATTATTTAATAATTTTAATGGTGGAATGGAAGGTAATAAATTTCATCAAACCCCAAAGTAATGATAGGATCATTGCTGTTATTATTTTTAATCATAAATTTATGACCATGAAGACTATAATCATGATTAAATCTGAACTTCCTCTGAGCCATATTAATTTGAAAAAATAAAAATTAAAACTTTATATTACAAGAAGCTTTCAAATAATTAAACTTAAAGGACCAAATTTCTAACTAAAGTTAGTGTTAAATTTTAATTTAAATAAAAAAAAGAGAAGAAAACAAAAGGGGCTAAAGTTATTAAGTACTTGAACTTTTCAACCTTTATCATGCAAGGATTCAAAGTTTTATTGCTCCTATCCCATGGAAGTATTATAACTTCTATAAATTCTTATTCAAGGATTTCATTATCTTTCAAGTTTTATTTACTTGATTTTACAACTTCTATAGTTAAATTTGGTAGAAAATTGTTGTGCTTGTATTTTTTTTATTTACTGTTTTACATGTGTTGATATTATATTCTAATTCTTTATTTTGTTAATTTTTTATTTTGTGAATTCTATTTTTGAATTGCAATTCTTTTATTAACTACAGATTATCACATTTGAGAACATTGATAATACACTTAAGTGGAAAGTTTGTAAAGTCTCCAAAGGTTGAAGATGTTGGTGGTGGAATTGACAAAGATGATGAAATTGATTTAAATTGTTCGTCATAAACATTGTCAATGATGTTGTAAAGTTATTTTTAAAGGACATTACCAATAGGTATTTGCTTATGGACATTTCAATGTCTACTAATTTGAAATCATTGAACAATGACCAAGATATGATGAACACAACTTAAGCTCTTTATGAAAGTAAAATAATTGATGTCTTTGTTGAGCACAAATTACTCCAAGTTATAATGTTGAGTTTTCTAAAGATGAGGGCAATATGAACTAGTATCTAAACATGTCCCCACTAGAATCTATTATGTTCATGTCAAATTGAGGCTAACGAAAATCATTGAATAGGAATTATAGAAGTTTGAATCCTTCAATAGGAGTAATAATTAATAAAACATTAAATCCTAGCATAGTGAAGTATCAAAAAATTCTAGTCCTGATTTAGTACTTTTGCTAAATAAAAGGGTACATCTACAATTTACTGAAAGTTAAAGGGCATATCGGTCTCAAAAAGGAATTTTCCCCAAAGTCTTTGAGGGGGTGTAAAACCCTCGCCTCCAAACCTCTTCAAAAGCCGTTTTCGTTTCCCTTCCTCCTTACTGCAAACCCTAGCCCTTCTCTTCCGCCTAAACCATTTCAATCTATTCGTATTTATAAGTGCATAATCCCGATTGGTATTCGCTGTACTGGATTGGGTTCTGTTGATACTGAGGAGCCAAGTCTCTGCGGCAGAGAGATGGTCACGACCTCGAGAATCGATGCTGCCACCTCTGAGATAGTGAAGAAGACAATCCAGTCTATTAAGGAGATAGTTAAGGATCACTCTGATGCCGATATTTATGTCGCCTTGAAAGAGGCCAACATGGACCCTAATGAAACCACCCACAAACTGCTTAACCAAGGTTAGTCTCTGGAACAGGTTTCTAACCCCCTTTTTTTTGGGGGGGTGGTTCATGGCGTTTTTGTTTACTCTGTGGTGTTTTCTGTTGTGGGTTTTGAATTTTTATCCTATAATATAAATGTTGGAAATATATTGGGGGAGTTTTAGCAAGCTGAATTGAAGATATATGATTTATTTGGCAATATTTGCGGTGGCTGGATTTTTTTTGAGGTAGACTTTGCTAAGTTTCTGGTTTTTGTTTAATTCAAATCATGACTCAGTCATCACTTAAAGTAAGTAATTCGTACATACTCTACTGGTACTGGGTTCTAGCTTAATAATTATAAAAATGCATGCAGGGGGGGCGCTCAGCTTGTCTCTGAAACTACAAAGTAATATACTCAATTATGGCTCCGGATGCTCAAACATGGTTTGAAAATGTAATTGAGTATCAAAAGATCACAGACAACTAAGAATAACTGAGTTATTATTATTCTTTTTTTAATTGAATCATTTGACACAGATGGTAGTTACCAAAAATAATCATTATCTCCTACGGTAGGTGTTCATTGCTGTTCTGAGTGTTCTTTTATTTTATA